CTAATAGCTTCTTGTTTCTAATAGCTTCTTGTTACTACTAGTAAGGCACCTGTTACTACTAGCGTGGCACTTGTTTCTACTAGCTTCTTGTTTCTAATAGCTTCTTGCTACTACTAGTAAGGCACCTGTTACTACTAGCGTGGCACTTGTTTCTAGTAGCTTCTTGTTTCTAAGGAAGAACAAGCTGTTCGGCAGCTGGAAGCCGCCAAGAAATGGCATGTGGAATCGGCGGAGGACAGATCACTGGTGGGGGATTGGGTGTCCAGGTGTGGAAGACTCGCTTTGCCTTCCAGCTCTCAGTCTCATCACACGAGGTCTTAGGCCTTTTCAGCTGTGGAGCTGTGATAGTTGGGCTGCTCTAGGAGGCGCGCAAGGCTCTAGACAAGCTTCAAACAAAGAGCCAACGACTGGAACTGCAGGCAGGGTAAATCATGGGTCAAGTGGAATTCAGGGGAATGCTCCACGTGGTACCGAATAGGACTTGAGAATATAGAGCATATCAGTGAGGCTAGTGAGGTGGTGGTTTTTGTATGTTTTGTACTGAATATGGACAAGAATGTTGTCAAGCTGCAACCTAAACTAACAGCACGGATCGCCGCATCAGACATCAACTATTCAAGCACACCCTTGGAACCGCCGTGATCTGGAAGTTCCAGCATCACCACCTAGATTAGGCGGTGATCTACCAAGACCATGAAAAACCGCTTAGAGTGATACTCCCAACATCTTCAAACCAAAAGAACGCTTGGATTCAGCCGAGTGAACCCGGTGGATCTTTACCCGCAGCCACCATTGGGGAGAACCACTTCGGCGCCCTTCTTCCTTCTTCCGTTTAGGGAAGTCGGTTCTCTGAAACGGAGCGAAAAGGACACCATGTTTACCGGAGAAAAACTTAAAGGAAGAAGATCTTACCCAGGTTTTGCCTCTTCCACTTCAATATTCATCATGACATTTCATGACCACTTGGGCCACGGGTGTTGGGCCCTGTTGGGTGTGTTGTCGTTCGAAGAGAAACCTGAGTCTTCCAGGGCACTGGTCGAACCAGTCGAAGGTCGTTTGATGTCCTTTGACCCAGGCGACTGCCCAAGCGCGAAGTGGAGGGCTTAACTGCTTTGATTTGTCTTGGCCACCGGTGATGTTTTGACTAGAATGCTTAGCAGGTGTCCCATAGTTCCCCCCACTGGGTGCCGTAATTGGGTTAGATCTTTGACCAAGAACGCAGCCAAACGTCTTTAAGTTGCTCGTTGGTCCCCCGCCGATGTTTCTCGGCCTCGAAAGCAAGGAATGACTCACGAGGAGGACACTCTCAGAGGTATGGAGCAAGCTCTAGAGGAAGCTCACCAAGAACTTGATCGCTTCCGTAGCTTGGTGGATTTGGGGGCCCAAGCTGAAGTCCTAAGAAGTGGTAGATGAATCTGGGGTATAGTACGTAATATATGGTATATAGTCTGGATCAAGTGTCGTTTGTTGGGGGTGCTTTGTTTTTGGTTCGTAAAACCATCGTTTGCCGTTTGGCTGCGGGTTGAAAGTCTTGTTGAAGTTTTGTGCACGAAGCTGCGTGACTCTGAAAGTCCATGTCAAAGACCCTTCGCCAAGTTGAGCGAGAAGTACTATGACCTATGAACATCTATGGACTAAGAAACACATCCAGAGACTCAAGTAATTTCGGATGTTTGTTTGACAAAGTCGCTGGGTTTGCAGTGCTTCAAACTTCAAACCCATACTTTCCTATTTGGATGCATGACCGCGGGACGCCCGGTTCGATGGCATCCCAATTAGGCCAGAGGGCGTTAGTTTTCACTTTGGAGATGTGGATGGTTTCCTTGTTCTCCGCGTCATGTTCGTGCCTTTGAAGTTCCTTTTGCACTCCATCTATGCTCCACTGCGCAGCGTGTCGCGGAGGGTGTCCCGGAGCGTTTCACCTTGCGAAACACCGGGGGGCCACTGCGAGGCACTGAGCAGCAAGTGCAGCTGGCAGACACGATGGGGGCAAAGGTGCGCGCACAGATGGAGTTTGCAGGTGCAGAGGCTCGGGAGAAGGCTCTTCAACTGGAGGCACCCGTGGGCTCTGGTGGGTTGGGGGCAAAGATGGGCAAAAAAAATAAGCCCACTATATATAGGCCTATAGGATTGTTTTAATTCACACAATATGGGATCATCATGGTTAATTAATTATAGAAATGATATGTGTAAAACAGGGTTTCAAGGATATAACAAGCCAGAGACCACAGATGTTGGTTTCTGTCACAGGCTGCAGATGATCCAATCGAAATAAAGTGGGTTGTGGGTTGACAATGTCAGCACTGCTAGGCAGCGCAGGAGTACACTCAGAGTGTTGCATTGCAGACTTTGCTAATCTCAGAAGAGATGCTGGGCTGCCATTCAGCTGCTGGCTTCACAAAAAAATGGCATGGGGGATAGAGACATGCAGGAATTGTGTAATCCACAGACACAATGTCCCAATTCCAGCGGCTTTAGTGTTCAATGACCAGTGGAAAGCTCCACCAAAAGTCCCGCTGCCGTTTTGGGCTCTCTCCGGAATATACCCATGAAACGAATTGAAAGAATCAACTGGTGTGTTTGCTGGGAGGAAAGATTCTCACCAGCTTGATTCGAGTGTAAGAGCCTCCCCTGAAATCGCTGGTAAGATGTCGTTTGTTTGCCATTCGTGACCAAACACCAACATACCAGCTGCAGATGCCAATTGCACGACGATGTCATCAGCCTATCAGACCTATTATATATATGTATCTCCGGCCCCGGGGTTTAAGATGCTTCTCATTTGATTGTTCTGCAGTGTTTTGGCTTAATCGGATGAGCTGCACCAGCTGCGGCCTTTTCGGAGGGCCCATTTGTCATCCTTGCAGGACTTTGCGGAGGATCCGTGAACTTCTCACCGGTGGACATTGTTGAGGTCCCAGGAAGGACCGGTACTCGAGGCCCTTCGTTCCGCTGCTGGTGCACTTACGGACTTGGCCGAGGAGGCAGGTCCCATCCTCAAGGCGGAGCACGAGACCAGTGCATTGCCATTGCGGGAAGCCGCACCGGCTCCTGAGGAGGAACCAGAGGCGGGAGCAGTTGAGGCTCCTGAGCGGCGTGAGGTGAAGTTGGAGGGTGAGAGCGAGGGCCCAAAAGAGCCTTTGGTTGAGGTGGACAAGGAGGACGAGGCCGACGAGAGCAAGAAGGCTTCAGGTAGTCGAGACGCAGCCAACGAGGAGGAGGTCCCGAAGAAGAAGAAGCGCCACAAGCACAAGAGTCGATCTGGGCAGGCAGGAGAACCCAGGCGGAGAAGGAAGAAGTCCAAAGACCAAAAGGAGTCGTTCAACGAGCCTCCACCAGGGGCCCCTCCTGGCACGGGAGCGGCCGATCCCCGTCAGGGCGGTATCCCCGCTGCATCCACCATCCGGGCACCATCTCTTGGCCTCAGACCCGCACCAAATCCCAAGGGCTCAGTCCAGGGACACTTTGCCCGTGTCCTGCCCCCTCCCCCGCCGCCAAGGCAGCCTCGGGAGCCTGACCATCCACCGCCTGCTCGAGAGAGCGATCGAGGAGGACAGGATTGGCCGGACCGTCGCAAGCAGCGATCAAGGACGCCTCCAAAGCGCCCAAGAGGCAGTAAGGGTGCAAAGCATCGGCAGCGTGGCATTGACCGGAGCGCCTATCACTACCAGGCACAATGGCGCCGAAGGTGAAGGCCAAAGCCAAAGCAAAGGTGAAGCCGAAGGCAAAACCTCGGGTGGCAATGCGTGTCGCAGCTCTTCGGCGAGGGTTGAGAAGGCCTGCAGCCGATCCAGCATTGGGTGCAGCTCCTGGGGGACGGGAGCAGTGGATGAGAGGAGAGGAGGTCGACCTACATCAAGTCCCTTTAGAGGAGTTCGGGCAAGGGACCAAGGTGGTGTTCACGACGGCCTCCTACTACACAGCGGCGTGCAAGATCGCAGGGCTCGTGAGAGGGGTGGTCATAGACTCCAACCGAGTTCACATCCTGATCCACCGGCTCATGAGGGAGAAGGAGCACGAGGAAGGCTGGGTTCACAACTTGGAGAAGGTCGAGCCGGCCGACGACGAGCTGGCAGATCTTCGAGCTCGGGGAGACCAGCTCTTGAGCGGAGGAGGAAAAGACGTCGGGGCAGCCAAGCCAGAGGAGAAAGTCAAAGCAGATTCCGACAAGAAGAAGAAGAGCAAGGTGAAAAAGAAGAAAAAAGGAAAGAAGTGCAAGAGGCGCAAGAGGAGTCGTGGTTCGGGCTCAACCGCATCGGGCAAGAGAGAGAAGAAGGGCAGGTCGGTGCACAAGACCAAGTCGAGACGGAAGAGCTCTTCGGCGAGTACGAGCAGCAGTCGACTGGACGGGAGACGACCTCGCTCCTCGGCAGTCAAGTCGCTCGGTGCCCTATTCCGGGGCACTGGCTTGGATCCCAAGGAGGAGGTCCGCAAAAGGGTGGCCAAGAAAGCTCGACGGGTGTCCAAGCGCAGCAAGGCCGACAAGACCAGCAGCTCATCGGGGACACCACGGAGCGGGGGTACTACGAGCGAGGAGGAAGGTATGGAGTTGAACCTCTTCGACCCGGAGACGCGCTTGCAACGCATCGGAGAGCTCACCCCCGGAGCCCTTTGTGCTCAGGCTCTGATGAAGATGCGCTCGAACCTCCTCCAGGCAATTGGGACGGAGGATCGTCCCGGAGCTCTTCAACCAATAGCTCTGGCATATTACCGTCAACAATTGCAGCGACGGGTGGCTGGACCTATGCAGAGGGAGTTGATCACCCTCTCGGCGGCGCTGGACGCGCTGCTGAGAGGTGTTCCTTCGAAGACGGCAGACATCCTTGCACAGAGGATAAAATCCATAGAGGCAACTATGAGCGGCAGTCATTGGTCGGTCAGTCAGCGGATGGAACTGGCACCCCAAGAGGGCCAGGTCCTGGCGGACCAGGTCGAACTGTCGGCGGCGCAGAAGGATGCCCATGCCGAGTCCAAGCTGAAATACCTCAGCACCCTCCCGGAGGGGAGGCGGAGCAAAGGCAAGGGGGGCGAGAAGGGCAAGGAGGTCGGCGACTTCAAGAAGGACAAAGGAAAACACAAGGGCCAGTCGAAGGGCGACAAGACACGGCCCAAGGAGGACACCGGGACGAAGTAGGCTCCTGTAGCCGGGAACCGGTTGAGAGTATGACTATGACATCCAGCATTGAACTACAACCTTCAGGAGCTGGAGATGGAGCGAAGGGTGGTGAACACAAGCTGGAACCGGCGGCTTTGAATAGGCCGGAAGCGGAGTGTGACACACCATTCGAGGTAATTTCAAAACCCGTCACTGGGGAGTCGGTGACTTTTTCTCGTGAGAGGGCGTTCATGTCGAGCGCCGCACCTTTCAATGATTTTCCACCTGTGCCTCCGCGCTTTGAAGCCGTAGAGCCACAGAAGGCCGACCCGGCAGAAGACCGTCCGGGATCCGCAAAAGCTTCTTTTTGTCATGAGGTTGAGGGGAGATCGATTTCGTTTTTTGGGACTTTTGATTTTTGAGAAGTTGATGGAGGTTGCCCCACTTCGCAGCAAGAACAAGGGCAATGGGGATTCCGCCATTTTCCCATTGCCTACCTCCATCCTCTCCCTGACAAGCATTTGGCCAGATTTGACACCTGAGGTGAGTAGTTGGTTGGTTTGTGTCTGTGCTTCCTTGAACTCACTTTGGGGTGGAGACGTTTCTATGGAAGGGCCTTGTAGTAGTAAGCAGGTTACATGTCTTGAGTTGATTCGTACCGACGTGGAACGCTTCTGCAAGCTTGAATTGACCGTAAGTGGCATTGACTGGCAGGATTTCTTCAGTGTCCGTGGCATCGACTACAAGGGGGACGAGATCAAGGTCGCTCGGTGGATTACGTGGGAGAACATTGAACCCGCACTTCCCCGGGAGATTGGCAGGGTTCCCCTGGAAGAGGTTTGTACTTTGGGATGCCGCCAGTATGTTTTGGGATTGGACTCTTTTTTGAAGCCCAAGTCGACTTGGGGGCACATCCCAAAACCCCGGGTTATGGTCGAAGACGGTGCATGGGGTGACCTGTGCACTGGACTCCTGAGGGCGGGAGTGTGTTGCCTCCTGGAGGAGGAGCAGGTCTTCAATACGGGAAGCGGTTTGCTCCTGAACGGATTATTTGGCGTTTCTAAGGAGGAATGGACAACCAGCGGCACTGAGGTCTGCCGTCTGATCATGAATTTGATACCTTTCAATTCTCTCTGTCAACCCCTTGGTGGAGACGTTGACACCCTCCCCTCATGGGGAATGATGAACCCCTTCTTCCTTCAGCCCCACGAGAACCTGATCGTGAGTTCTGAAGATGTGAAGTGTTTCTTTTATACCATGCAAGTGCCTGAATGCTGGTGCAAGTTTTTGGCGTTCAACAAGGTTGTTCCTGATGAGTGCCTACCTCCTGAGCTCAAAGGCAAGGTGGTCTACTTAGCGTCTAGAGTCTTGCCTATGGGTTTTCTGAACTCGGTGAGTCTTGCACAAAACGTGCATCGCAACCTGGTCAAGTGGTCAGTTGGGGAGTCCGATCGGAGTGCTCTCGAAGCCTCTGAGTTGCGGAAGGACAGGCCGTTCACCGTGGCAAACCCAGCATGGAGAGTCTACCTGGACAACTACGATCTCCTGGAGAAGGTCACTGCTACAGGCATGGTTGAGGTTGAAGGTACGGCTGCGGAGAGTATCCTCGCCCTCCGGAGTGAGTATGCTAGGTGGGAAGTCCCCAGAAACGAGAAGAAGGCAGTCCAGAGGTCCTCACGGTGTGAGTTACAGGGCGCCACGATTGATGGTACCCATGGGTTGGCTTTCCCGAAGGAGGCTAAGTTGTCCAAGTACTTCAGTCTGGCTCTAACCCTCCTTGGGCAGAAGGTCGTCACGCAGCGCCAGATGCAAGTCGTCTGTGGGGGGGTTGGTCTACTTCACTATGTTTAGACGTCCGATGCTTAGTTGCCTCAACGCGGTTTGGTCCTTTATCGAGAGCTTCAACGCGCCGGGAGCTGTGGCACGTCCGTTGCCGTCGGACTGTCGCCTTGAGCTCCTGAGATTCATTGGTTTGTTGCCCTTGGTCCGGATGAACTTTCGACTGGACATGCATCCCATGGTCACTTGTAGTGACGCATCCACTACGGGGGGCGGAATATGTCGATCGGAGGGCCTGACGCCTGTTGGTAGCATGGTATCGGAAGGAGGGTTGCGTGGGCAGTTGCCACAGCCATTGGTGGAGCATCAGGTGCTTGTTGTCGGCCTTTTCGACGGCATTGGGGCCCTCAGGGTCGCGATGGACCTCCAGTCTGTAGCGGTCTGTGGATACATTTCGGTAGAAAAGAACCCTGCAGCTCGGCGTGTGGTGGAAGCCCACTACCCGGGTGTCGTACACTGCGAGGACGTCGAGGCGATCACCACGGAGGTTGTGCAAGAGTGGAGCTTGAGATTCTCACAGTGCAGTTTGGTGATCGTGGGTGCGGGACCCCCATGTCAGGGGGTCTCGGGGTTGAATTCTGATCGCCGTGGCGCGCTAAGGGACGCTAGGTCCTCCCTGTTCGTGCATGTCTCACGCGTACGCGACCTTTGTCGACTTCACTTTCGTTGGGCAGCCGTGCATTGCCTGATGGAATCAGTCAGCTCCATGGATAAGCAGGACAGGTTGATCATGAGTGAAGACTTTGTTTCAGAGCCCGTTCACATCGATGCTGGGTACCTATGCTGGTGCAACAGGCCACGTTTGTACTGGACAACTTGGAGCTTGGCGTGTGGTGAAGGTGCAAAGTTGGTGGCGGGTGCCGAACTCGGCTCCTGGGAGCTCACGGGTGAGCAACCCCTCGAGAAGGTGCTGGAACCAGGCTGGACCAAGGTTGACCCCAGGCACGCTTTCCCCACATTCACCACGTCTCGCCCGGCTTCCCGGCCCGGACGTAAGCCAGCTGGGATTGGTCAGTGTGATGCAGCGGAGCTTGGTCGGTGGGAGGCTGATTGGCATCGGTTCCCACCTTACCAGTACATGAGCAAACACGCAGTGGTGAACCGTCTGGGCGAGCTGCGTGTACCTAGTGTGAGTGAGCGTGAAGTGATCCTTGGTTTCCCTTACCAGTATACAGTCCCTTGTGCAGGCAAGGCGGAGCGTAAGCAGGCTGAGTACACCGATACTCGCCTCACGCTCTTGGGGAACACCTGGTGTGTTCCAGTGATCGCGTGGTTGTTGAACCAGTTGTTGCATCCCTTGGGCATGAGCCCGTCCCTGCAGCCACAAGACATCCTGGACCTGTGTTCGCCTGGCGCCACTGAGTCAGTACAAGGCCGGTTGGTCCGCCTGCCGCTGCGGAAGGTGGAAGGAGGTTCAGGTGATGAGTATGATCTGGCCTACAAGTTGGGGAACCTCATCAGCCTCAAGGGGGGAGGACATCCTGCTCAGCACTCCTAGCACCCAGCTGGTCCGTTTTCACCGGTTGCGTGCCTCGGTTCCGTCGCGCCTCTGGCGTTGGAAGGTCGTCTCAGGTTGGAGGTGGACCCGGGGCAAGGAGCACATCAACTCGCTCGAGTTGCGTGCCATCCTGAATACGGTTCGCTGGAGGGTTGAGCAAAAGGGTCATTGTGGTTTTCGCATGTTGCATTTGACGGATTCATTGGTGTGCCTGCACGCTCTCACGAGAGGGCGGACCAGCTCCAGGAAGCTCCGGAGCTCTATGGCGCGGATTAGCTCTCTACTTTTGTGTTCCAGTTCCCAGTTCTTGTGGGGTTACGTGCATACCGACTCCAATCCTGCTGACAAGCCAAGTCGGTGGGGGAGTCGAGTGAAAAAGCGCCTGAAGCATGCCTAAGCGTGTCTTGGAAGGTGGAACACAAGAAGAGAGAGCAAAAATCCGTCAAAGACTTGGTACATTGCGCCAGTTGACCGTGCAGCCAGCCACCCGACGTCGTTATGACAAGGCCGTCGACCAATTCCTCACTTTTCTGCAAGCAGAGAGCCTAACTTTACCAACTAATAAAGACAAGGTTGACCCTCTCGTTTGTGAATACTTGGAGCACCTCTGGTGCACAGGCCAAGGGCGTGGCCTGGCCTGTGACACACTAGCAGGATTACAGGACCTGCAACCGAGCTTGCGCACTCGCATGCCGGCAGCCTGGAGGCTCCTGAAGACATGGCAGACCAATGAGATTCCATCGCGGGCTCCACCATTGCCCGAGCATATCGTCCATGCGATGTGCGGGTGGGCCTTTTTCCATGGTTGGTACTCTTTCGGGGTCTCCCTCCTTATTGGTTTTTACACCATGTTGAGGACAGGAGAAATTCTTGGAGTCATTTCGTCGCACATCGAGTGCGGGCTGTCTGCCACACAAGCTTTGATAAGCCTGGGCCTCACGAAGGGCGGCAAACGGCACGGAGCTGCCGAAAGTGTGGTCCTTGGTTTTGAACCTGCGGTACGCGTGCTTAAAGCATGGAAACTTGTTGCTACTCCCAGCACGAAGTTGACGTCATCACCGCCGAAATGGCGGGCGCTCTTTAATCAGTGCCTCGAGGAACTGAAGTTGCAAGAGTTTGCGTTCAGGCCCTACTCGCTACGGCGAGGGGGCGCCACGTTTTGGTTCCAAAAACACCAAAACCTGGACAAAATACTAGTCCAAGGGAGGTGGCAGACTCAACGGAGCGCTAGAATTTACTTGAATGAAGGCCTTTCAGTACTCAGCCAAATGCGGGTCCCAATGAATGACCCTCGAGTCAAGCCTTTTGTAACGGTTTTTCGGAATTTTGTATCTCATCCTCGTTTTTTAACACTTGAGCCTCCTGCCGTTGGCGGAAGGGCAGGGGGCGTTGGAAAGAAGAGACCTCGTGGCAAGGGAAAAGCAGCTTTTCGTCCTT